TAACGAGTTTAATGGAGTGAATGTGTGAAGAAAAGAAAGTGTGAGAGGAAGAATAATAGAAAGTGTGAGAAAGGAAGAAGGATTTAATGAATGAATAAAGGTAAGAGGTAAGTAATGTGAAAGAATGGATGGATGTGGGTTAATCAACAAATTCCTATGAAATTAAAATTAAAAAATTTAATTAGCTCGTACATTTATATTTATATTAATATTTATATTTTTTGTATTGTAAATGAATTAGTAAGTCCAAATAATTTTTTTCCATCATATTTTCTTAGGAACATCAACCTATTCCAAACATCAGTTGGTGTGCTTCCCATATGCGTACAAACTAATTTCCCTTGAAAATATACATCAATTTGACATTGTGTATCAATTATTGATTGACATATCAAAGATTTTTTTTCAGAATATTTGCAAAAAAAGGTGGATAGATAACCAGGACCTACAAAGTTTAATTCCTCCTGGTATGGACTACCTATTGATGTTACTAAAACTTGAATATCATTAGTAATAATTTTAAAAGGAAAAAAAGGCACCCCTACCTGCAATTATTTAATCATTGCTTCATCTCCAAAACCTAAAACATCTGGTCCAGAAAAGCGTGTTTTTGTATCAGAATATTTCTTATAAGATTCATTAACTACTGCAGTTGGAGTTGAGTAAATTCTTCCTTCTATATCTGATTCACATACATACCCAGGCACCCATTCATCATCGCTTGTACCTTTAACTACTCTAACTATAAATCCTTGTTGGTCGATTTTATATTTGATTTTCATATGATGTCTTATTGGAAATGTTGTTTCTTGATTATTGGACTTAAAAAAAAAAAACCAATGAATTGCAAAAGGATCATAACGAAGACTGTTATCAATTTCATCAGTTGCTAAAAGATGTCTTTTAAATTTTTGTGTGGACATGAGGATCAATAAACGCGGACACTGAGATTTGAGAAAAATTCAATCTTATTAATAATGATAGGCGACAAAATTTTATATTAAAACGATCGACATCTCTCTCATTCACGGATCACCAATTAATATTTTAAACAACAACAAATAATCATGCCTGGGTACTAAAATAAATTTTTATTCACACAAAAAATATAAATATTAATATAAATATAAATGTACGAGCTAATTAAATTTTTTAATTTTAATTTCATAGGAATTTGTTGATTAACCCACATCCATCCATTCTTTCACATTACTTACCTCTTACCTTTATTCATTCATTAAATCCTTCTTCCTTTCTCACACTTTCTATTATTCTTCCTCTCACACTTTCTTTTCTTCACACATTCACTCCATTAAACTCGTTAATTTTATTTTTTATCACCATTCCATAAAATCTGTTCATCCCATTAATTTGTTGACATTATAAAAATGATTTATCATAAATTACTACTTTCAATTATAACATTAGCAATGTTTCTTTTTTGTTTGGTAATAAAAGAAACAGAATCATTGCCATTGAAATCGCCAAATCAAGAAGATGAAATTAAATGCCCACAATCCATTCAGTCCACCAAAAAATATAAAGGAAAACCCAAACAATTTTTAATTATACTTAAATCTAACAATGATACTCCACTACAACGTCGTGGTAATTCAGATAATGGAAAAAGTGTTTTAAATAGACACTTAAAATATATGAAAAAATGTTGGGGAAATGATATTCCATCATCATTGCCAGAAGATGTTGATCAGATTTCAACCAACAGCAATGATAATAAATTCACTTCATTTTTATCTGAACAACTTGTTGGATACTCTGCACCATATGATCCTGAATTTGTTAAAGATCAATTAGTGAAATCATCAGAAATTGAAATAATAGAACCAGTGTTACCAGTCAAAGCATCACTTTTACCAAATTTATTGGTACAAAACAATCCAAATATAAATTTGGATCGTATAGATCAACGAAAACTTCCATTAGACAAAAAATTCAGGTTTCCAGCCTCACAAGGTTCAGGTGTAAATGTTTACATAGTTGATACTGGGATAAATGTTAAACATCAAGAAATTATAGGACGAGCTCGACATGGTGGCTCATTTTGTCCAAATTGTCCTGCTATAGATGACCATGGACATGGAACACATGTAGCTGCCTTAGTTGGTGGAAAAACATTTGGTGTAGCAAGAAAAAGTAACCTGATAGCAGTCAAAGTGTTAAATAGCTTGGGTAGTGGAACTACGGCAGGTGTTTTGAGTGGATTAACATTTGTATTGAATCAACACAAATCCAGCTCTAATAAGAAAACAGTGGTTAATATGTCACTTGGTGGACCACTGTCACAAGCACTAAATGCTGCTGTAGAAGCTCTTACTAAGGCTGGTATACATGTGGTAGTAGCAGCTGGTAATAGTAATACAGATGCATGTTCAAAATCACCATCATCTGTTCCATCAGCAATCACAGTTGGAGCAACTGATCTTGTTAAAGTTCTTGGTGTCATTACTCTTGATAAAGTGGCCAGCTTTTCTAATTTTGGCAAATGTGTGGATATTTTTGCACCAGGAGTAAATATTATTTCAGCAGATGCTAAAACAAATACTGGCAAGGCTGTGTTTTCAGGTACAAGTCAGGCAGCTCCACAAGTTGCAGGTGCAGTTGCTTTAAGTATTAGTAAGAATGGTAATACTACACCAGCTATAATGGCTAAAAGAATTATAGATTTAAGTACAAAGGGTGTCATTAAATTAACTACTCTTCTACAACCAAACACTCAAAATAGATTGTTGTTTATTCCTTTATAATTCATTACATTTACTGCATGTAATTTTTCCATGAATTTTAATACTAAATTGGTGCTCTAGTCAATTTTTACAATAAAAATTATAGGATAATTGTCTTTGTAAGCTAAGCTTATCCTCCATAATCAAATATCAAATGTTGCAACATATACATATTACATAAAAACTATACATTGCATTGCAACATAATCACAATGCAGTTAGACCAATTTTCTCACTTTTAAAAACATTATTATTATAAAACATTTGATGTGATCAGGAAATCTTTTAAAAAAATGACAAACATAGCTCATGCATAGCTTGGTAATATCCATCACCAAGATGGTTACCAAGTGTAAAATATTCCCAGATATCATTATATTTTGGACCAAGTTTGTTTTTGTTATCAGTAGCAAAATTCATCTTTAATTATTATATGAAAAATATGAAAAATGGTTTTAAAATGCATAAACATACTCATGGGTGAAGTAAGGATTGTGACCTTGCTTTTTATTTGAATGTAACATTATGACATTGTGGTTAGTTGCAACACATAATTTTACATTACGGGTACCAACTTTATTGTAAACCCAGTAGTGTTCCTATTTGTAGCCTTTACACCATGAGTATTTGTAGCACTTTTGAATATTAATACTATTGAATATTTGCAGCATCCAAATACTTTATACCCATGACTTAAAGATAGCTCCTCAATTAATTGCAACATATGAAATTGAATTGTGGCTAATTGCAGTTCTCATCTTTACTCATGGTATAAAGATATTTTGTGGCATTGGAACCAGATTCACTAATTGATGGTCATGTGAAAGACCATAATATCCTTGAATTTTTGTTTATATTAGATTACATAAAACGTTTCAAGTAATTTTTTTATAAATATAGAAATGACCTAGATAGAATAATTGATAACAATATTGTTGTTAGTGAAATAATTGATGAAGATGAAAGTGCAGACAAAAATGAAATTTAAATGCGATAGTTAATATAAATGCTCAAATAGGTATTGTAGCTGAAATAAATGACAATCTGGTAAATAAAAAAAGGTAATTTATATGTTGTATATATTGGGGGAGTCAGTATTACACATACACTAGAAGACTCCAATGGTGTGGTTTTTTCCTTATTTGGATTTAAATTTAATTCTCTATTGCCTTGAATTATAGTGTCAAGGTTACCTCTTTTTTTGAAATACTTCGAATAGTGTTGGCAGTGACATTTCAATAGTTTTCCCGGCCCTGTTAATGTACTTGTGAAAAAATTTTTTTTTTAAAACCAAATTGTTCAAGTTAGTCACGTAATTTTTACAATTTTTTCATTCGGCATGTAGCACAGCAATTGTCATATAATTTTATTAACTTTATGTGTGCAATCATAATTGGTTATAAAATATATCAAAAGGTACACCAGTTACCAATTCATTAAATAAACAAATATCAGCATTGAAAAGTATACAAGTTCAAAATAAATAAACAATTACAAGATTTTATATTTTTATAATTCATCTGGTATAATTAATTCAATCTGATGAGAATCTAAAAAAAGATTTATCACAAGAGTAGATATTATTAAATATTATAAACTTTAAAAATTAATAAAAATGAAAATAATCAATGATTTAATGTTAATAATTACCATTATTGTTACCAATAATTGTCACTTTATTGGAATTCACAGGTTGGGGAAGGCTTGTGAATTTTAATAATCTGCTAGTATAAACTGCATTTTGATGAATTGTTGGAGTAATTGTTGAAGGATCAAATTTTATTTCATCCATTTTATCAAATTCATTTCCAATCAATTCTAATTTATCCTGTTGTTTTTTTGGATATTTATCATAATTAAATGAATTAAATGATTTACTCCAAAAATCAATAATCCAACAAATTTCTTCAGCAGATGGGCGTTTATCTGGATTAGCATCCATACATTTTAATGCTAGTTCAATATAGAACTTTGGTGTGTTGTTTGAAAAACCAGGTCTTATGCCTTCACATATTTTTATTGCAAGATATTCATCATGTGCCAAATTATTGAATGGTTGTTGGCCAGTTGATATTAAAGACATCAGAACTCCAAAACTATATATATCTGATGCTTTTATATGTCTTCCCCTTTAAAACTTCTGGTGCAACATATGGTAATACTCCAAATATATCATTTTTGTTTGATGCAGATGTTTGACTAGCTGGGCATGAGAATCCTAAATCTGTAATATATGAATATATTTTTTTATGTTGAAGAATATTACCACTATGAAGATCACGATGAATAATTTCTTTTTCATGAATATCTTTTAAACCTTTAATAATTTCATAAAGAATATTAATTTTGTTGTTCCATTTTAAATTTTTAAAATCTTTTGCTAGATAATTTTGAAGATTTCCATCTTCAATATATCTCATTACAAATATATATTCTTTTGTAATTGGATCTTGTGTTAATCCATAAATATGAATTATACCTTCTTCATTATGAAACTTCGTATAATTTTTGAACTAGAGTAACAAATAAAATGTTTAATTATAATAATAATAATCAAAAAAATCTGAAACTATTAATAAAATAATTTACCTCATTAAGAAATTCATCAGAAATATTCTGTGAATCATTTAGTTTTTTTAGTGCCACAATCCTATTACTAATAAATATTTTACTATTTTTAAAATCTGAATATTTCATACCATTTAACCAAGTAGCTTTGTATATGGTTGCAAACCCACCTTCACCTATCTTTTTAATATTTGTTAAATCATTATAAGGAATCCATTGAAGATAATAATAACTACCATACTCAGTTGCTTTAAGCTGTGTACTTTTAATCAATTCATCTAATGCTTCATTGCCACTAGTCCATCCTTCAGTTAATAGCTTTGGATTGCATGATTGACACCATACTGGCTTAGTATTATATCTATTGCAGGTTGGGCATTTCCCATATTTTTCTTTTCTTTCCTTTGAATATTCATCATTTTGAAGACTTCCATCTTCCATGTAATGCATTACAAATATATATTCTTTTGTAATTGGATCTTGTGTCAATCCATAAATATAAATTTCATCACGAAACATCATATAATTTTTGAACTAAAATAACAAATAAAATATTTAATTACAACAATTAATAAACAATGATATATTAAAAAATCTGAAATTAATATTAATAAATAATTTACCTCATTAAGAAACTCATCAGAAATATTCTGTGAATTATGTAGTTTTTTTAATGCCACAGTGATATCTTCACTGGTTCTTTTATTGTTTTCATGATTTACACTTTTATAACCATTTAACCAAGTAGATTTGTATATAGTTGCAAGACCACCTTCACTCATATTTTCAATATTTGTTAACTCATTATAAGGAATCCATTGAAGATAATAACGACTACCATACTCAATTGTTTTAAGCTGTGTATTTTTAATCAACTCATCTAATGTTTCATTGCCACTAGTCCATCCTTCAGTTAATAGTTTTGGATCACATGATTGACACCATGAATACCAAGTATTATATCTATTGGAAGTTGGGCATTCCCCATACATTTTATCCCTTTTCTTTGAATATTCATCATTTTGAAGACTTCCATCTTCCATGTAATGCATTACAAATATATATTCTTTTGTAATTGAATCTTGTGTTACTCCAAATATTTTAGTTACATCTGTAAGCTTTGTGTAATATTTGAACTAAAATAACAAATAAAATGATCAATAATATTTTAAAAACTCCAAAACTAATTAATATTAATAAAATAATTTACCTCTTCATTAAAAAATTCATCAGGAATATTTTGTAATGCCACTGTCATATCTTCACTAATTTTTTTGTTATTATAATTTACGCTTTTATGACCATTTAACCAAATAGCCTTAGAAACAACACCTTCACCTATCTTTTCAATATTTATTAAATCATTGTAAGGAATCCATTGAAGATGATCGCTATAATGATACTTAGTTGCTTTAAGTTGTGTACTTTTAATAAACTCATCTAATGTTTCATTACCACTAGTCCATCCTTCAGTTAATAACTTTGGATTGCATGATTGACACCATGAATAATAGGTATTATATCTATAGCAGGTTGTACATCTCCCGTGATATTCTTTTCTTTCCTTTGAATATTTATCATCATCATTTTTGTCGGTAGAAGTATCATAAGAATGATTATTTTCATTTAAAGCGTTTTCCATTTTAAAAATTTATTTGAAAAATTTTTTTTTAAGGGTGAGAGACCTATGAATGATTTTCATTATTTAGTCGCAGGTAGTGGTTATATCCGTCGGATAGTATCCGTGAATATCCGTGGATATCCGCGACTATCCGGATATCAATTTTATCTCACTATCACAGTTGATCGACGGATATTCGACGGATATCTGGAAGAAATATTTGTGAATATCCGCGAATATATCAGTCACAGGACATTTCCCGCCGATCTATAGGAGGTTGTAAAACATAGTAAATTTGGATGATCTGCATCATAGTAAAATTCGAATTTACATAGTAAAATTTTATAATCGAATGTCTTCACACCCTCGTTTGATACCCTTGCTGTGTAGC